AGTTCCATACTCTGCCTCCCACATCTCACCCCAGCCAGTGCCTCTCCTTTTTCTGTGCCTTGTTCCATGGCGCTCCTCTCCTGCCGTCTTCTTCCCTTCTCATTCTGACTACAGCAAGCATATTACGTCCAAAACATCAGCAGAAAAAAAAAGACATATGTCTTTAGAGGCTGCAGCTCATCAGATCTGTTTTAAATGTCTGCAGTAAGTTTTGATTAATTTTGCCCTGGGGCAGTTATTTCAATTGACTGTGAAGTATGGATGTCTGGCTCTGACAAGGTAGAGTGGACCTTGAAAGAGAGAATAATTCCACCTTGCATTTCCAAAACTCTGCTAACAATTCCTTAACTCTTTGGTAATTTCACTGCTGATTCTCAAGTATAGTTGCCTGGGCCTGTAACCTGTACAAGATGTTCAGCTGGAACTTCCTCTAGATCTTGGTTATGACTAAAACATTCTGTTTCTCCATTTTTTTTCTACATAGTCTCTAAGATATGGCCACATCCAAGCTACAACTATCTTGCATCTTTCAGACTGTCCATTCCCAGTAAATGTCATCCTATCCTATTTGTTCAGAATGCAGTCATAAAGATAAGTTTCTCATTCTTCCTGTTCAGCCACCTTATTTGCTCATTACAGGTCTTCCTGGAGATATATCTGTCATATCAAATGTAAGCAGCAGGTTGAAGGCCTTGAAAGTGAAGACAGCTTATTGACACCCTGCCTATTATTTTTCATCTGTAGGATGCCAGCATCACCTACTTATTAAATTCTCAAATAATCAGCTGCATGTCTTGTTTCCTTTTTCGCAGGTGATACCAGATGGCTAGGGGATATAAGGAGAGACTCTTGTAAGTGTATATCCATGAAATGATCTCCTTCAAGGCCAACCTTAACATTCTGCTTTCTTGTACATTGGTCATGGTTAGAGAACTAGTATGCCAAAACACTGCCTAGCACATAAACAATACTGTCTCATTGCATCCTTACAACTGCAAAGTTATTACATCTAACTGGACAAAATGCAGTAAAGGGGAGAGACACCTTAGCTGGCTCTAGCTGAGTTAATTCAGACAGTGGAAACACAGCTGTGACCAGCTAATTAGCTCTCCTCTGAAGTAGCTGAAAAGCAGAGCTAAATTAGTTAGGATGAGTGCAAAGGTTATGTATCTCTTGGGTACCAGAGGTATTTCTGACACAATACCGTGCCATGCAAACCTACACACGGAGCTTGTACAGGCTTTTTCTGTTGATACCTGTTTCAGTTTCGATGCTGCAGCACCAACTCTCCTCTTTACTATATATATTCACAAGTCTTTTCATACAGGCGGAAGGTCTGTCTAGTAGAATCTGAAGACTGGATGCAGCTGGATGTGATGTTTTCCTGTCAGGCTTTTATTGCCTCATCTCTTAAAAGGGGTGGGGAGGTGGGGATGCAATACAAAAGCTACAGTACAAAATGAAAATGGTCCAGAATGGCAGACTAAGGAATATGGGTGATCTGAGGTCCTTGCTCCACTACATGTACTTTGCATTAGCTTGTTTCCAGTATCCTAGACTGCCAACTCTATATGACAAAGGATCGTGCAATATAGACATCGGTTCTCCATCGCACTGGAGTTTTGTGAGGACAGAGTCATTAAAGACCTTAAGTTCTTCACTACAATAGTATTGAGGCCATCCACCTCAATCCTACATTCCTTATTTTGGAAGCGTTGAGGAAAATTCATCGATTACATTTTCCAAAACATCACATGAACTTCAGCCTTCAGGGTGCCGTACTGTATGCTCAACATTGACAATCAGGCAGATGCTAAACAGAAAAATAAAAGCTAGCTGGAGGTATATATTTTTAACTCTTATGTTTCTATGTTTCTTTGAAAATAAAAACCATAAAAAATTGGTAAATACTATTGGGCAAGGAGTTAAAAGTGGATTTCTGAAGCTGGATTCCTAAACTTAAGTGGAGATTCTTAAATAAGAATTCTGTTCTCCAGGCTACAGATATTAACATTTAATTTTATACTAGAAAACACTCACCTCTATGCATGTGAAAATGAGTCTAAAGGATTAGGTCTCGAGCAGCTTTAAAAAACTGGAGTGTGTGATACCTGAGAGAGAAGTACCATGAGCTGAACTTTCAGGTTTTTCAGGCTGTGAATTAAATTTTTGCAGTTAAAAAACAAAAACTTGCTCTATGTGCCTGATGGTAATGGCTCCATCCCTGAGCTTTTTCCATGTAGTGAAAGACACATTTACCGACCAAACTGGCAATTTCCAGCCCCATGCTTTTTCCATGTTTTTGGAAGGGAAAGTTCGAGATAATAAGATAGATTTCAAACTCGGAGATGAAGTGGCAAAGCTGCACTTTCTTTCAAACCTCCCTCTCCTCTTCCCCCAATGTCTCATAATAGATGCAATACCAGCTTTTTTTTTTTCTATTTTTGAGCCATTTGTGCTATGCGTACCCTGAACGCAGAAATTATCAGATGCTGGAAGGGGATTTTGCACATACAATAACAATATAACCAAATTCTCACACCACACTCAACACAATACTGACTGTTTCTGTGAAGGAAGCAAGAATCAAGCCTGCACCTACCCACTCAGAAGAGATTCAACAGCCTGACATAAGGCAACATATGACTCAAATCCCAGAAGCAGCAGTTATCATCTAAAGAATGATACCTCCAGCACAGTCTTCTTTTCCTTAAACCTTATTCATGAACTCTGATTACGTGAAACACATTGCAGTGTTTGCTTTAAGTTACTATTTAACTACATATCAGATTCTTTTTAACAAATTTGCTTTCTTGACTATTTATAGAGTAAGAATATGTGTGACTAATTTGTTAAAAATATGAACACTGTTTGGACTATATTTTACAGTATTTGTCCGGGTTTACACATGAAGATTTAAACCAGCAGCTTTAATGAAAACTTGTTTTCAAACTAGCTATTGTAGGTGGCCATGTGACTGTAAAACACAAGAGAGTAAAGTTTCAACTATAACATCTGTCTTAGATGTTACTGAGTACCCAACAAAATAAACAAGATAACAATTCAGCTGAATTCACCCACTGAATAAGCAATGGATGAGAAAACGTATGCAGTTCAAGAACAGACTTTCAAAGCAAAGTGGTAGAGTTTTTTAGAGATGTTTGTCATGTCTATTCCCTGAGAATATTATTTGGCTCATACAACCAGCAGAATATTCTCTGGAAACTGAGAGCGCAACTGGGAGTAACATCCCAGCATGTGCAAGACATTTTGTTCATAAAGCTCTAGAGGAAACTCTCAAGACAAATAGTAAGCCAGCTATGGGTGGTCTTCAGAACTTGAAGGGGAATGTGTTAAGAGTAGTACTGGACTGGACAACATACCTAACGGGGTTAACACATGCACTTAAATTTGTACTATGGGTTCAGTACATGCATAGTCACATCCACTCATCCATGCTGGAAGGCAGCAAGTACAGCATATTGTAAGAATATAAGTTTCCTGTTCATTTCAAACAGGCAGCATGCCAAGTTTAATGTCAATCTGCATTTTTCTCATACAAATTGGGAAAGTAGAAATTACAGATATTTTCAGCCAAACAACATGCTAACCAATATTTGCCCTTATTACACCAATTTACACAGTTTAAGCAGCTAAATGTAAAATATGAAATGTTCTTTGATGTTTCAACAGCAACGAGGAAAAAGGAATGGACTGTAAGTGTCACACGTCATAAAACAATGCAACCCACGCTGTCAGATGTGCTTATTTCCCTTTAATTTGTAATTCTTCTTGTCATATAGTTGAACAAACCCAAATCTGAGCACCTAGTCACTAAAGGGTCATTAAAATATACAATTATGACAAATGCAATACGGAGTAGATTTCTGGAAGTCGTAAGAAAAATCTCGCCGACCTTCACAAAAACAACAAAAAAATCCATTTTTTAAAGACTTAAGGTTAAAGAGTTCAGACCAAAGTTATTTCGCATATCTGTTTTTAATTTTTGCAACAGATGCACTTTACAGCTGCCCTCCCAAAATCAATATTGTTGACATTTCAGACTGAGCCCTGTCTAATCAAGCAAGAAGCCTTCTAAATTATTATTATTTTTAGAAATCTTTATGTGGATGCTGTCCATAATGAGTGAAGTCATGGTTTAATGTTTATAGTCCTGATACGGTTGTACATCAAATGCCAGCGTAATGATAATTTTACAATAAGATCTCTGTTGCACTATTAGCAACACTCTACAGGACTGAAGAAAACCTGAAGCATTTGTGCTAGTGCTGATCACAGATTCCAGAGTAAAAATAACTACCTCAGTCTGGAACATTTAACAAACCACATTTTTCCAACTAAAATAACAGTGTATGCATCTGTTAGGTTTTAACACCCATTTTAGGAACTCTATACAAAATAAACATGGGGTCAGGTAACCTAAGGACAAAGTAAAATTTGTGGGCCAAGGAATTTAAAAGCAAACAGTGTGATTTGAAAAGGTGAAAAGCTTTTTATTTTTATTTTTTTTCCAAATGCAGTTAATTTCAGCTTTTCAGCAGAATCCCAGTAAAGTTCAAAACTGGCCAACAGATAACTTTAAAACAGGGCAACTGCAGTTTCGGTGCTAATTAACAGCCTCAGTCACTTTCATGAAACTCCATTGGCTCTTGATTTACGTGTCTGTACTATAAAGTCTCTGACCCGATTCCTAAAGCCAAAATAAAATGCAGTCTGTGCAGCAAACTGAAATCTCCCTGGAGTCACACAGTAATGCAATGTTTCAGTCAAAAGTTTTTAGGATTTATGTGTTAATAACACCATGCTGAGGAGCTAGTTACAGAGATGTGCTTGAACATATGCCATGGTCATTAGATCACTCATTTGTTTGTATACAGATCTCAGATCTTAGGCTAATTTTAGCTGGACTTATATGATCCTGCCAGACTCACTGTCCCTAGCCATGCTAATTGCTCAGCACTCTGCTCCAGCTGACTTACCTTTTTCACTGTCTGCGAATTACTGACAGGGAGGAAGCAGTGAGTGGTGCTTGTGGAGACCTCCTTATATCTTCCTTGCTGTGTTGTAGTCTGTTTGTTTGGTGAAATCCCATTAACAACTGCTGAAAGAAAGCTGCTGGTCATGAGAGGACTCAGGGTCTGGCAAAACAGACAGATGGCCACCACTAAGGCAAGAAGGAAGGGACGAGGGCGGCAAAGTCTGCGACACCTGGGGACTTGTCCACAAACCATGGCCTCTCCACCGTCCTCACTTCACCCTTCGGCACATTGCAGATGCAGTCAAAGTGGCCTCTTTTTGCCAGGATAAAAAAGGCAAAGGCACGTATTTTCCAAAACTAGTCAGTTTTCTCCATTTCTACTTCTGAATTCTTTCATGGTGCCTGGCAAGAAGTCACAGCTTCCAAAGGAGCAGAGGTCTGTAAGAACCTTCCCATGAGGGATACAGGAACAACCTGTGAAAAAACAAGAAGTGAACAGCAGTAAACAACACAGTGTCACAAGAGGGTTTGTAAAAAGCCATACTGAGCTTTCTATACGGCATTCTTTATAGAACAGACCTGCAGGCAAACAGGTGAGGAGCAGAAATCTTCTCCCCTAACTTGGCAGAAGGAACTATTCAGCCACGCAATAGTATCCAAGAAAGCAAGAGGTTAAAGCTTAACATATCCTGTCCACAGCTGAAAAGAATAAGAGAGTATACCAACTTTGTGAACAATCGTTTGCTGTTTTTTCTCTCTTGCATTCTCAATTCCCACTTTGTTTTTACAGTTTCCTTCATTCCAGTCCTTTTAAATTGCCTCTTTCCTGTCAGCATGCACAGCTCTCTCTCTTTAAATGATCATTTATCTGAAAACTGACAGGCTATGAAGATTTCCCTTTGCATTTGTTTTGTCCGGATTGCGAGTTCAAAGTTATGTTTACTTACTCAGTTCTTATCCTGTTAGAAGTTTTCCATTCTCCTCTAATGGGCTGCTGATTAAAACCACTTGGAACAACCCTGGCTCATGATCCCAGCTCGTCTCACACACTCAGAAGGCAGGCACACGCACATACACACACCATCTGAAGCCAGTTGGACCACAGATTTCATATAAATAAAGGCTGGGCTGCACAGAGGGTGGGGCTAAGTTAGCTCTGAGCAGGCACAGGGTTTGGAGACACAGCATGAGATCCAGATCAGGAACAAGAGGTGTCCTTGCTCACACTGCATGCCTCAAAGCCACCCTCACTGCAGTTTTTAGAAATCTGCTGTTACAGCAATGAATCTAATTGAAACAATAATAATATCTTACAGACAGTAAAAATCTAAGTGCTACCTGCAATATTATAATCCGAATTAACAAAAATGTTATAAAAGGAAGCAGGTTTACTTCCTAAGTATCTCTGACAAAGCAGTTGTCAGTAATTTTCCATGGTATATATAATATTTCATAGCAGTATATAAATAAAAACTTCTTACTAATGTTAAAGAGGGAAGGAAAGGAAGGCAGACAAAAATACTCCAGTGAAAGCACTTGGTATCTAAGTCACAGAAGATCTTAGTTACTACTTCCCCCTGCCGACACAGGACAGGGACGAGACAGATAGGAACAGTTGAGGGACTCAATGTTATCTTTATAGACCTAAACTTCTCATATAATAAAGTTCATCTTGCTAAAAATATCTATATTCTATTCAGCAATTTTATCCTCTATTCTTAGTTATTTTTGAAAAGAAAGAGTTCTTCCAGCACTGCCTTATATGTGAGAAAAGAGTGCTGGTCAGTTATGATAATCCTGGGCCAACCTACACAATACGACAGTGACAGCAGCACTAGCAATTTAGATGCCTATATACAGCAGTGAGGACAACAGCACATATATGTTTGATTTGTTGGTGTTCATTCAGCTTTCAAATTCTTTTTTTTCTGAGCTAAAGCCATCAATTTGCACATATAAAAAAAGGCTGTGCAAGTGATTCAACAACTCAGGCAGAACTTCAGCTGTCATATACACTGCATTTTAGTTCTCTGTCTGCTGCTATTTAAATCACTCCTCCCTGTTGGGAGTTGTCTGAATTTAACTCCTAGGCCATCCTGAGCAGGAAAGGAGTACAAAACTTGCCTCTACTCTCCAGTGATGAAAGCTTTCCATCCACACAGAAACTGCCATCTGTGTCTCCAGAGACATGCTGCTCACGTTCCCTCCTTTCCAGCACACCAGGTCACATCCTCAGGCCCTGCTCCAACCAGCCTGTGCTGCAAAGCAGTTGACAAGCCACCAAGCCACCAAGCCACCATGGAAAACCATGGGCTCCCTGCAGCTGACTTCAGGGTAGAATATGCCGTACAATGGAGAGTGATACATCAAAGGAGTAGTGCAGAGACACTACAGCCAGCCTGGGAGCTATAGTCACCCCATAAACAGAGGAGAAGAGCACAGGAGAGTTGTTTTATTGTTTTAAGAGATTGTCCTGTGGTTTTTGGCACGCTTTGACTTCTGGGCCCATAACCACTGGCATTTGCGGGGTTGTCAATTTCTCCCAAATATTTAGTGAGGGGATTTTAGCCAGAGCTTCCCATGCTATTGCTGGAGAACTTGATCAAATCACTTATAAAGATTTGGATTAAGGATTGCCTCATGATACGGAGATCATAGGCCCTTCCTAAAGCCCCACATTAGACCAAAGTAATTCTGTACCTCTTCTACCCCACTCCCTTAGTTACCTTCAGCCCAGCAAGGAGCTATGCACTCTCTCCTGTCCTACGCCATTTTTCCCTCCCGTTCATAAGTGGGAGTTTTAACTTTATGTTTTCCTCACCTGTCTCAGAGCCACTTCATCCTGCCTGCAGCCCCAAGATCCCTCATTGGCCCAGAGTTTTCAGAACAAGCTGATGGCTTTTACTCATTTACTGCCTCAAGACAGATATTCCGAAAATAAAAGAGGGAAGGGAGATCAGCAGAAGCCAAACTGATCACTCCACCTCCTGGATACTTCTGGAGGTCAGCCTTCTGTTTCTCCACTTTTTCAAGATGTTTCAAGGAGCGAGCTAGCTTTTTCTGCCTTATGTTTTGTGGTTTATTTTCCTGACAATAGCATGTAATGCACATTTCTTAAGCTGTAAATAGGTTTCCTATTTCTAGCTCAATCACAGCTAGAGTGCAGTGAACATGACTCCTATCATCTTTTTCATCAGGTTTCCAACATGTCCCTGGGCTTAAATGTCTACTGGCTTATTGAATGCATTCTGACACTACAGAAATTAAGGTAGGATTATTGCAAATGCAGACTAATTCCCCTGACGTTAACTACTCAGTTAGGAAAAGGATATGAGTGGTCAGAGTCAGGCCTCCTCAGTCCCATACTCATAAGAAAGTACTTCAGTACATACTATTGAAAAAACTTTAGAAGGTAAGTAGCTGTAAGTTCAGAAATAGCTGGTGGCTATTTTATATGTAAACTCACAGGTATATGTACATATTTCAAAGTTCTCAGCAGAAAGCTGCAACTCTCCTCTGTCGCACATGTGGCACAAATTTGGGATTAATTTTCTGTTTGGGATTAATTTTCTGTTTAAGATTCCTGGACCTCTTCCTTCCTATGACTGCCTCCACTGCACAGATTCAGGGCTCTCTGGCCTGCTTATCGTGCTGTGTTCCTTCCTCTGCTGCTCACTCAGGACTTCTTGCCTGGATGCTGCCTACAGCAGGCGGCCGCTGTCCTGTTCTGCATAAAGCAAGGGAGCTCAGGTCCTGCAGAGATCACTTCTGTTAAAAACAACCAACCATGACTGTCAAAGAGTGATCTCTGGTGCCTGCAGCCAGAATCCCAACTACATCTGCATCATCTGGAATAGACTATAAGTGTTCAAAGGTACTGTGACACTGACAAAAGGAGAGGAAAATCACGAAACTTGCTAAAAATTGCAAGAGACTACGATCTGAAAGGACTTAGCCAATATGCCATGCAGGCATGTAATGTGCATCATTCACCATCACTGGGGTTTTAAAACAGCTAAGCTTATATTCCCACATTTTCTGTTTTGCCCAAGTCTCTGTCAGCGTGAAAGCTAGGGACCACTGAAGAGTAATTCAGATGGCCTAAGTAGTGACCTGGACAGGTAATTGCCAGGAGCTAGCCAAAAGGAAAATACTAGGCACAGAAAGTTAGCAGGAATTTATGGCTAGCTGAATATATCCACTATGTGCAAGCTTAACTTCACTCAGCGATCTAACATGAATCACTCTGCAACTCTGAATAAAGTTAAGTCTATGTGTAAGTGCATGTAAGATCGGGACTTGGTATAATAAGAACCATTTTGCCCCAATAATTTCACTATATAAAGTCTGCCAAGGAGAAATTATGTCTAAAAACCTATTGAGAATTGCTGTTTTCTAGAACAAGATTCAAATTTCAAACTGTAGAATCCTAATAACCATTTCAGTGATAAATAAGGTCACATGAAAAATAAGCTCAAACAGATGATTTGTAAATGAACTGGTCATCAAGCCTTTGCAGTCATGTTTATCACCTTGACAGTACAGACCTGTATGCAATTTTCATTGTATATGGTCAACTCTAGTTTCTTTTTTATTTTCCAGCTTGCCAAAAACTATGCCAAGGGCCATAAATTCCCACTGACTTTAAATACAGGATATAAGGTCTATGAACAATAAGCATTAACAGCACTGTAAATATGCAAGCAAAACATCTATTAAACTGTGCTGAAGAAAGCCTATCAAGCCACACCCTCTATGATTTTTCATTTCACCCTGAATTCAATCCACATTACAATCAGATTTACATGTGTCTTTAATCCTGTGTGTGGTCCCATTACGAGCAGTGAATGAAGAAGACTGGCACAGAGTAACAGAGTGAAGAAAACAGGAGTAATATATTTCATTACTCTTCTGCAGATTGGAAGATTCAATACAATTACTGAAATTTAAATTAAACCCAGCATGGAAAAACCCAGACTTTATCCCCTTTTCTCATGCATAGAGCCCTGTAGGCCCTAATGACTTTGTAATTTTGTTTTAAAGAACGCTCTAGAGAAAAAGGATTCACGCCTTAATCCCACTTTGGCTTGACTGTTTGTTCTTGGCTCACAATGAAGGCAGGCTAGAAGAGAAGACTCTGCAAATCCTTGGGAAGCAAAATAGTTGATGTTAATGGAAGAGAAGTTCTAGAGGAGGCTCCTCTTTTTGTTTTGCTTTTTATTATTGTTTGATTTATTTAATCTTTTGTGGCTATGTAAATGGAAGCAAATGATCTCAACTACACAAGCAGATGCGTTCATTTATCTGACCAAAGGACGTACACTCCATTTTAGACCTTTACTCTGCAAATTTTTAGCAGTTCATTAAGCGCTGTGACATTGTTTCATGTTCCGCGCCAAGAAAGATGCCCTTAGATCTTCAGTTCCGTGGGCGTATCAGCCAGTCCAGTAACTGCCTGCCACTGAAAGGGGAAAGTCTTGCTTGTCCTTTAGCCTCTCCTCCTTACCTCTGCTCCTCATCTTTTCCTTCCTTGGTACTCTGTCTCCTCTTCCCTTGTGGTTGTGCTTCTCAGAGCCTTCCCTGAGAAAAAACTGTGCAGCTGGGCTGGTTTTCTGCCAGGTTAGTGAGTTGCATCAGCTCTTGGAGAAGTCCAGTGGGCGCCAGCACTGGTACAAGCTAAACAGCAGGAGAACGTGAGTAAGAGAGCATGGAAAAACAGGGGGGTGGAACAGGACTTCACCTTTTAGCCAGCAGCAAGCTTGATATTCAGATCATCAGATCTGAATCAGATTGTGCTGAAGCCACCCCAGCTTCCCTAAAGTTTTAAGTTTGATCCTACTGAGTTACTTGTTTAGAGAGATACCTTTGTATCCCAGCCTT